GAAGAGGGGTGGAAGATATTCAGAGAAACGACAGTTCATGCAAGAATGCAAATGTATATGTGCTTCACGGTGTGTTCAGTGGCAGCGAAAAATAGCATTCATCATAGACAGACAGCAACAGTCCCAGCGGCCAAAAAGGACCACAGTGCATACGGAAGTCGAAGGCACCTTCACTTAGTGAGACTCTTAAGCTGTTGTAATATGTTTTTGGTTATTTTTGGTTTTGTATTATTTTATTTTTTGTTATTTTTTTCGTTTTGTGATAATTTGGCCTCAATGAACTCCTACATATTTTGCTGCCTCATGGGTTAGCGAGAGACGCTTTTTTTTTGTACGATACCATCAAGTTTTCCATAATCGAAGGTATTCCCAGTTCTAATGTGCGAAGAAGGACCCATATATGAGAAGGGAAAGGAGACGTAGAGGTTCCCCAAGGTTTAATATGTTTCCCGCCTCACTGCCGCAAGGAACTAGGAGGACAGTTTAGAGAAGCAATAGTTCCATCAGGAGTACATCCATCCATCCTTCTTTGTTGATTAGGATGAGGATGGTGGAAAAACCTCCTCCCGTTGGATTCGAACCAACGACCTGTAGGTTAACAGCCTAACGCGCTGCCGACTGCGCCAGGGAGGATCTTGATGTTTGTTTAATATTTATAGTATGCTCAGTATTAAATAAAGAAAGGTATAATTTCATCATAGTTATGGTCTTAACGCTTCCCTGCAATAAGTAAGAAAAAAAATTGGCGTTAGCTTCTTACTATAGAAATAGGTGCAGAGAAGGAAGAATTTCATAGAGTAACCCCATGAAAAGAAGAAAAAAAAAGGGGGAAATAAGGCAAGTATTCATTTACGCAGGGAAAAGAAAAAAAAAACAGAGAACGTACATATTGCTGAAAAGTACAAAAAAAAAATATATATATATATATAGGTGTTCTTTCTTGTTTTTTTTTTTTTGCTGTTCTTGTTTTCGTATTAAAGCAAAGGGTCTTCTGTTTCCAAAGTGCACAGTAGATTTTTTTTTTCTTATGGTATAAGGCGTTAGTGTGTTGTTCGCGCAGGTGGAGGAGGAGGAGGTGGATTAACATCATTCTCACGGTGTAGCTGCATCGCATGCTCACGGCCAAAATCAGAAATGACATCCGACTTCCCACAGTATGATACTTGTAGTGGTTTATCCCTTTCCATGTTGTAGCGGTTGTGTAGAGCCATTATCGCACAGTCCGCCTCTTCTGTTGAGCCGTACTCCACAAACGCACTACCCTTACTGCGGTTACTCGTCTTATCTCGAAGTATATTCACGTGAAGCACATTACCGTAGAAGTCAAAGAGGGCACATACGTCCTCTTCAGTGGCTTCAAAGTTAAGTTGTCCCACAAAGAGACGTGCACGGCCCTGTGGCATGATCACACACTCAAGCACAGCAGAAATTGACGGCGTTTGGCTGCTTGAACCCCTTGCGCGTCACTATAATAATAATAATAATAATAATAATAATAATAATAATAATAATAA